CGTCTCAGTGACGAGGGAGCCAGACTGTCGGCACAGGAGAAACGTAAGCAAGTGGACTACGCGTACAAGACTGACTAGCCCCTCCCCCCTCCCCGATTTGCTTTGCATCAGACACAGCTGAAATCTTTTCTTTTTCGGAAAGTGCAACACTGACAGGTTGATTGATTTTTTTACAGAGACTAGCATACGACTGAAAGCCTTGCAAATGGAATTTCAGGGAACCCGACGTAAAGTTCCCCGATTAACTATATGCGGGGAAAAAAACAAAAAAAGACGTCGAATTTATAAATTGGATTTTAATAAGTTGGGGGAAGCTCTCTCTGAATGTTCTGAGCTCCTGTTTCCATGCTAGTCATACGGAGTGAGATGACCCTACCGGGAGGACAGTCGACTATCCGGCCCTTAAACAACCCGCGATTTATCTGTGAATTTGTTGCTCAGCAGAGGCGCCTCGCCATCTCCCGTTTCTAAATGTGCCCACTGTGCTCGCGCGACATAACATCCGTACAAAGGAGCGGGAGCGGTTATCTTACGCAACGTTCCGAGAACGTGGTCAGAGTGAAGCATAATCAATTCCAAATGAGATTGATTGTGTGCAATCGCAAGATTCTGCGGGGTTGATCAGTTCCAGTCGAGGCGCCGGTTTTTTATTGCAGCCCAAATTTCAGCTGACCCGACCGCACCAATTACGATCAGAAGGGAGCAAGGCAAGTTCCACTAGCGAGTTGACTCACTGCATCATGTGTAGTAAAGAAAAAGAAAATTATGCAACATCAATGTTTGATTGCCAAGGGGGGTGGTGGGCATGTTATTATGTGCCGCCCCCCATGATTATGTAGCTTCGCCGGTGTTTGATTATAAAGACACGGCCGGTGTGTGATGCTTGGAGAGAGCACAGCCATATTGAACACAATCAAAAAGCAACATCATAATAAAAAGGGCCCTCCCAGGACGAACCACCACAGAAAACAACGCATGTAATCTGTCTGCCACATGACTTGTCGGCAGGGAGAAAAGGCGGGGGGTGGGGGGGTCTAAAACCAGCAACTCCTGGGAGGAAACGCTGGGGCAGGCCCAGAGGACTCGCCGTCGTCTCGCTTTACATCCAAATATTTGTACGGTGGGAAAGAAAAATAAATAATAAGAGGTGCCAGGAGCCAAAACTCACAGAAACCCTGTCAAAGGAAAGGGGAGTAGCGGGGGCGCGATATCAAAACCTACTTCAGTCAAACTCAGAAACTCTCTTCACTGCCAACAGCTGCCGTTACCTTGAAGCTGATGCTTCGACGCAAGGTCGGGGTCGAGGGTGCGGGGTATAGAAGTCGCTGTTTTTCCTGCGTTCAAAAGTGCGTGGTGAACGCCCCCAGCTAATTTTGTGCCCCCCCCCCCCCCCCCCTATTAATCTCGCTCAATCCA